TGAATTTTAAATCGGCTTGTCAATTTCTACGAAAAATCATGTTGGGATTTTGATGAGGATTGAGATAAATCTTTATATGAATATAGAGAGAAATGGCATCTTAATAGCATTAAATCTTCCAATTCACGAACATGCATATATTTTCATTTTTTTCTGTCCTCTTTCTCTTATCAATATTTTGTAGCTTAAAGTGTTATTACACACTTTTTGTCAGCTATATCACTAAGTATTTCAGATTTTTGATGCTATTGTAAGTGATATTTTTATTTCAATTTTAACTTTTTGTCGAGGGTATATAGAAATACAATTGATTTTTTTATATAAAGAACTTGTAGCTTTTAACCTTAACCAACGTCACAGATTAGTTCCAGTAGTTTTTTTGTAGACTTCATTAAAACAATGATGTTGTCTAGGAATAAAGACAATTTACTTCTTCCTTTCCAATCTGGATGCTTTTTTTTTTCTTGCCTCATCAAACTGGCTAGACTCTCCAACACAATGTCGAATACAAGTGGTAAGAGCAGACATTCTTATCTTTTTCTTGCTCATGGGGGAAAGCATTTGGTTTTTCACAATTAAGTATGATGTTAGCTGTTGGTTTTTTGGTATATGCCCTTTTTCAGGTTGGGACCTCCTGATTTTCTGAGAGTTTTCATGTGGAGCAGATGTTGGATTTTGTCAAGTGCTTTTTCTACATCTATTGGGATGATCATAAGGAGTGTCTTTTTAAAGGTGTTAATGTGGTGAATTATGTTATTGATTTTCAAATGTTAAAGCATTCTTGCACTCCTGGGATAAAACCTCACTTGATCAGGATCGTATTATTTGTTTTATATATGGCGTTGGTTTCAAACTGTTAAAATTTTCTAAAGAATTTTTGTATCTATGTTCATTAGGGATATTGGCCTGTATTTTTCTTTTCTTCATAATGTCTTTGTCCAGTTTTGGTTTCAGGGTAATCCTGACCTCATAGGATATATTAAGAACTATTTCATCTTCTCTAATTTTCTGGAAGAGTTCACATAGAATTGGTATTTGTTTTTCTTTAAGTATTTGATATATTTCATCGACGTAGCCATCTGGGCCTAGAGGTTTTTTGTAGAAAGATATTTAACTGCCAGGTCAATTTTTTAAGTAGATGGAGTGTTATTCATGTTATCTATTTCTTCTTGAGTGAGCTTTGATATTTAATGTTTTTCAAGGAATTTGTTCATTTTGTCTAAATTGTCAAGTTCATTGGCATAAAGTTGTTCATAATATTCTCTTATTAGCCTTTTAATGTCTGTAGAATTTGTAATGGTGTCACCTCTCAAATTCCTGATATTATTATTTGTGTCTTCTATCTTTACCGATCTTCTAAAGAACCAGTTCTTAGTTTCTTAAATCTTCTCTATTGTTTTTCTCTATTGTTTTCAATGTCATTGATTTCTGCTCTGATCTTTATTATTTCTTCTCCTAATTTTGGGCAAATTAAGTACTTCTTTTTAGTTTCTTAAGGTAGAAGCTGAGGTTATTGATTTGAGACCTTTTTAAGATATGTGTTTAGAGCTGTAATTTCTTCGAGTACTGCTTTAGCAATATCCTACAAAATTTAATATATGGTGCTTTCATTTTCATTTGGTTCAAAACACTTTTTAATTTCACTTTTCATTTTTTCTTTGACCCATGGGTTATGCAGAAGTGGGCTCATAGTTTCCATATATTTGAGGATTTTCCAGAGGTCTCTCTGTTATTGGTTCCAATTCCACTGGGGTCAAAGTACATACTTTATATGATTTGAATCCTTTTTAATTTATTGAAACTCATTTTATGAACCATAAAATGGACTGTCTTGTTAAATATTCCATGTGCACTTGAAAATAAAGTATATTCAGCTTTTGTTGAGTGAAGTGTTCTATAAAGTTCAGTTAGGTCAAGATAATTGACAGTATTGTTCAAGTTTTTTGTATCCTTAACTGATTTTTGTCCACTTATTAATTATTGATAGAGGGATATTAAAATGTTTGAATATAATTGTGGATTTGTCTCTTTCTCCTTGCAGATCTATCAATCAGTTTTTGCTACATCATTTTAAAACCCAGTTTTTAGGTGCATAATATTTAGGACTATTATATCTTTCGATGAGCTGACTTTTTATCATTATGACATGACTTTATCTTCATTAATAGTCTTTGTTCTAGAAGCTACCTTACTTGATATTAATATGCAATATTCTATTGACCAGTGTGGTATATATTTCCCCAATCTTTTACTTTTAACCTATTTGTGTTTTCATGTTTCAAGTACATGGCTTGTAAGCAGTATATATTGGATTTCTTCAACTGAGAGAGAGTCTGCCAGGCTCTGCCTGGGTTTCCCCTTCCTGTGCCATGACCTAAAAACTCTTTCGGCAATAACAGGGCTCATTTTATTGGTTTCCCATCTCCCAAGAACAAGGCTTGGCCTAGGGTGAGGTGAGTGCAGCCCCTACAGAGCAAAATTTTAAAAGATAATTACTCTCAGATACATAGCTTCGAGAGTGGGTTCCTCTTTAAATTTTTTAACTCATTCTTAAGAAGATACTCACTCATAGAATTGTGCAAATACAGGGTTAGCACCTGAGAGTAAAAGCCTCTTAATTTAGCACTCAGGGGCCTCACTCAGCTTTTTCTAGTCTCAGACCTATCCTTCATTACCTGATGTCCAGTGTCATGAAAACCATTAAAAATATATTTTGTCTGGATTTTTTTTATTATTTCAACTGGGAGGGTAAATCTAGTCCCTGTTGCTTCATCTTTTCTGAAAACATAAGTCTGGGCTTATTCTTTATGAGATTTTAAGAAACCTGGGTATAGAGCTACCTGACTGAAATACAAATGTTCTGAGGCCTTCCTGCAAAGAATTTAGCAAAAGATTGATCCTCCTTCATTCAGCAAACAACCAATGAGCACCTACTCTATGCCATATTCAAGGCTAGGAATTGGGGTTAAAATCAAATTAGACAAGATGCATATCTGCCAGTGTTCATAGCTGGCTTCTTTAGAACTATTAGATTGGCTCTTTCATACCATGTGTCACCTGTGACATGAGCCAAGGAAGGCAGAGAGCCAGAGAAAGTCAGACCTAGAACAGAGAGATCATCTCTACTAATTCCCATTTCCAAGGGTAGTTCAGGGGCTCACTTAAGTCACACAGCTTGTCAGTAGTAGTTGATTGCTATATAGTTTATTTCAAAGGACATGGAGGAGAGACCCAACCCCAAACACCATGCCAGTCACCATGACTAAAATCTCACCATTAAAGACTTATTAAGGGCAGGGACCATTTTTTATTAATATTTGCATTTCTCAGTGTTAGCTCAGAGCCTGCTACATGGTAATCAGTAGGTGAGAAGGAATGAATGAGTGAGTGTATGAATGAAAGATAAATGTTAAAATGATGAGCATGCCTCTGGGAGGTGACTTAGGTTATTATCAGCTGGGGATGAGTAGACTATGAAGAGCAAACTCACAGCCAGGACCCATGATAGGAAGGCAGTGTAGTGTAGGAAGTACATGAGGTTTCTAACTGTACTAGACCTTGATCCAAGTTACTGAACCTCTCCCAAACTCAGTTTCTTTATCTGTATGACAGGAATCCTAATGCTACTTACCTTATGGAAGGATGTCAGGTTTCAAACAATGAAGTATGTTAGGCTCCGGGCAAGAGAAAACCCTCAAAGAATGACAGGTATTATTATTAGTCTAGTATCCTGGAACGGCAGATGGGAATGAGGTAGCACCTAGAAGAGGGCAGAGATCTTGCAGACAGCAGGAAGACAACAGGCCATTCTGCTCTTGTTAGATGTTTACATAAGCTCAGCTGTTACCACCATCATTATCCAAAAGCTCTCTCTAAGCTCAGTATTGCACACAGATATGCCAGGCAATCCACATAAACCACGCAGACACAGCCCTGCTCTCTCGGGGCTTATACCCAAGGTGGTTCCATCTAGGGAAGACAGAATAAAAATATTAAATCTTCTTGTGACCAGGTGATGGCCAGTTCACACCATGTAGGAATGAAGAGAAAGACCATTTCCCAAATGAGGAGTCAGGGTGGGAGTTCTTTGTCCATCCCGAGTGGAGTGAGAAGGTACAACCTGCTCTACCTTGTCCAGGCTCTGTTACATGGAGACCATTCCTGAGGCTGAGGCAGTCTTCCTGCTCCGAGCACACAGCTCTTGATAAATCTGGTAGAGAAAGGTGTTGACACAAATAGTAGAAGACTTTGGAGCCACGGTGTAGCTGAGCCAGAGGCCTGGAAGTCCAATACAACTGGAAGCTCCTTGAAGACAGAGTGCACTTTCTCATCCATTCATCACGGCCCCATAAAAGTCTGAGGAATCGGCTGAGAGCTCACAAAGAACTAGTTGATTGTGAATGATACAGGAGAGTGCATTTGAGTGAGTGGAGTCCTCCACCGTTGATAATGCTGAGGAGTCAGGGCAGCGTGGAATTAATATCAAATACAGATAGACAACCTTGCATTTAAATCTCAGCTTTTGTACGAACTTGCTGTGTGGCCTTGGTCAAGTCACTCAACCTCTCAGAGCCTCAATAAAATGGAGATGATAATGTCTATTTCAGAGAGATGCGAGAAATGACAAAACATACGTCGAGACCATGGCCTTGTGCCTGCCTACAAGTAAACATTCAATAAACAATAGCTGGTTTGTCAGGAACTGTTTCATTGTTTGTTTAAATTGGGAGAAATTATTTTCATGTTTCCTCTATGTCCTTTCAATCTGGAAATATGTGTTTTCCCCACTCTTCTCTTTTCTTTTTGATGGGCTGGCTGATCTATTAGTGATCACAACACACTTTTCCCTTGTCCTGAGTTTCTGCTAATTAAGAGGTGGTTGCTAAGAGATGCTAGGAGACATTGGTGAGTGATTCTGTGCTTCCCTCTCATCCTCTGTCATTTTTTTTCAGTCTCACTCCATCCCCATCATACCTACCTGTCTCATCTTTCATTCTCAGGTTCTGAAAAGACTTGAAGAAATTGACATCACTGGATGGCTACCCCTGGCCAGAATGTGGCCTCTAGACTCCAGAGACCTGCCCAGGGACCAAAGGAGAGTGAGGCCTGCCTGGGTCCCTTGGACAACCTGGAGTGTAAGGAGACCCAGGAGCTGATGCTGACAAGGCTGGCCATGCAGAGGAAGGCACAGGAATTTTTCCAGACCTGTGATGCAGGGGGCAAGGGCTTCATTGCCAGGAGGGATATGCAGGTAAGAGGGGCCCCAGATGGGCCTGCCTACCTGGAATGCCAAACAGCCTGGGTTCCCTTTGTCTCTCAGTTTAAGACTTCCCCATTGGAGGTGACATCTTTAACAGAAAAGATGCCATCGACTCGACCCTAGAAGAAGGCGTTAGTCCACACTCTACTGGGAGCCAGATCTCCTGTGTTCCTTCTTTTTCTGATCTTTATTTTCCATCAAACTTGGGGTTTTTTTTGCCCCTCTCTGACTCAGTAACTCCCCAGGGTTGTGGAAAGGGTGATAACAATGTAAGGGACTTAAGTAAGACAGGGTGAATAAACAAAGGTGGAAAGGCACCGACTTGTTGCTTCACTACAAAGTTCTAGGCTGTGCCAAAGTTCTTCTTGTGAGGTGCCATGTGTGCCTTAGGAACAGGTACAGTGTCAGGTACAACCTGGGAAGAAGGCATTTCTGGAATTCATCTTATTGGTCCCTTACCCTCAAACCCAACCACATTTAACCCTCTCATAGCATTTCCAGAGAGAGAGATTGCAGATTCTCAGTACATGGCATTGCCTATTGCAGGGCTCAGCAAACTATGTAAAGGGCCAGGAAAATATTCTAGGCTTTATGGGCCATGTGGTCTCAATAATGACTACTCAACTCTGCGCTGTAGCATGAGCAGCCATAGGCAATATGTAAATGATCGAGTGTGGCTCTGTTCTAATAAAACTTTATGGACACTGAAATTTGAATTTTATATAATTTTAATGTGTCATCAAATATTCTTCTTTTTCCAACCATTTAAAAATGTGAAGGCCATTCTTAGCTCACAGGCTATACAGGAACAGACAATAGGTCCAATTTATAGCCCAGGGTGTGGTTTACCCACCTCCGGTCTGGTGCCTTTCTACCATTAGTGTCAAGGTTTTTCTCAGTGTCTCACTTAAGTCTCTTATGCTGCAGTCATGATTTCACACTGATGTGAGTAAAAATGTAGGCTCCACTCGAGCTCTGTGACAGGAACTCTTCCCCCAATTTTTTCACCACTCGCTCTGTCAGGAGCATTTTGGGAAGGATACACAACTGTGCTATTAGGATAAAGACCTATGATGGCCAGGGTTTTTTGTTTGTTTGTTTTTTAAGTCTAGTTTTTCAGAATACACTAAAGTCGGGTAATGAAATGCAGACCTCATTAGTGTCAATCCACCTCGCTCGCATGTGTGAGCCATGAAACGTGAAGGCTAAGAATGGGCCTGTGAACCAGCTGTAAGCGGTGGGTCTTTCCCTGGCCCCACAGGCTTCTCCCAGAGCTTTTCTACCACCTGGTAGTTGCACGAATTGAGGCAGAAGACCTGGGAAACAAGTGGGCTCAGGCCACCCTTGTTTTCAATATTTGACCCCCCAACAAATTTCTGTCACTGAAACTCATTCACAAAGTCTCACTTCACATGGGAGGTGAGGTTCAGTGTGTTTTGAGGAAACTATTGACAAACCTCTGTCTACAAACTTCAAAATTGCCATTCACAGATCTGTGTTAATGGTGGTTAGGGGTGGTGGTTTCAATGGCATCCTTCACTTTTGCTTATCCTTTCTAGAAAGAAAGAAAAGGAAAATCGCATTTAGTGAGGGCCACCTGCATGCTACAACTCACTGCATAGCTCACAGTTAACCTTCATCGAAGCCCACTCTTTAATGGAGGGAGATGCATGGGATTCTAAACCGTCAAGTGTACATTGTTGCAAAAATCATTTGTATTTGACTTAGAATGAAACCAGAAACATCAAGTCCCAGAGATACTGACTCAGCTACATCCCTCCTCAATCTTCCTCCCTCATTCCTTACACCTGACTCAGGCAGGAGGAAAGAGGATGGACATCCTATATAGCAGATGCTTTGTGTCCATGGCACTTATTTCTATGAACTCCTTAGTTTTCTGAAGTTTCTGTGTACCTGTGGACAACAAAGCATTTGAAATTTTCCAGTCTTCTAAGAAAGTGCTATCAAGAGAGAGAACAAAACATAATATTTAAGTACCATCTCTCTGCCGCTTTTACTGGTCTTGTCTGGAGAGAGATGGGCTAGAAAGAGATAAGTAAAGAACAGTCATCTTGGGCTCTCTGTGGAAAGCCCATGTGCCCCTTGGTTCTCCTGAGCAGAACCTACAGACATCTACCTATTGCTTGTCACTCTCATACGTAGCTCCTTTGTGGGTTGGTCACACAGGTCCCTTTGGTTGGTTGGTGGCCAGTTCCTTGGATCTGGTCACCACTTTTCTCACCATCGGCATACACAGACACACACACACACACACACACACACACACACTCCTCACAACTCAGCCACCAGGAAAGGCCCTTTAGAGCAGAGAATGGCTCTCAAAGAAGGAGAAGCCATGGGCCATATGGAATGGAGAACCTAGGGGCTGGAGGAGGCAGTGGAGAAGCAGAGTTGGAATAAAACCACAGAGAGCTTGCTGTCTGTTTGAAAAAGGAATGGGAGGGTTAAGCCCTCCCTCAGTGCTCTTATTCTTTCTCCTGATTAACAAAAATCCATTTGCAGAGAGTGATATGGACTTCACAGTCATCTGAGAGGTGGGGGAGACTGCCGCAGTGGTCTGACCCTGAGCAGGAGGTAGTCAGCCTACCCTGATAGAGCAGGGAGCACAAAAGGAAAGGAAAGGGGCCAGGAGAAGCTGTTCTCCTTTGAGGTCCCTGGAGGGACCTGAAGGGACCTACAGTGGGCTGCACCAAGGGCTGATGTGCCAGTCGCCCTGTACTTGGGCTCCACATGCAGACATTCTGCCTCAGTGACGGCATATGGGGGACTCTGACCTGTGTGAACAGAGTGTAGGCAAAGGTTTGAGAATCCTCAGCTCCACCCATGGCCCCTCAGGCCTTATTCCCTCCTCCACAAGGAACCTCTCTGGGTTCCATGGGGTCACTCCAGGCAGAATTGGAGTCTGGTGCAGTGCCCTAGAGAGGCAGAGTTGTGGGGCTGAGGGCCCCGAGTGAGAGTCAGTCCTGCTTCAGGGGGGCAGAGGGACATGAGAAGGCCAGGCTAGAGAGGGCATGAAGGGATTCCTACAGCAGACGGAGGGGAGATGGGGTCAGGATGGACAGGAGTTCTCTCTGAAGAAACCTAGAGTCTTAAAAACCCTCTGTCCCTGATATTTTAAAAGAGTGAAATGATTATCTACCAATACTCCCAAAGTGTTAAGAATCGTCTAGGAGTTGGCAAACCAACCAAATCTTGCGTACTTGTGTTTTTGCAAATAAGGTTTTATTGGAACACAGTGTGCTAATTCCTTTATATATTGCCCACAGCGGCTTTCACACTCCAAAGACAGAGTAGTTGTGACCAAGACAAAAGGGCTTGAAAAGCCTCAAAAATGTACTGTCTGACCCTTTACAGAAAAAGTTAGCTGATTCCTGATTTAGGTTACCAGGAAGAGTTTTAAAGATTTTTGTGGTAAATTGACTTGAATTTTGATCCTGAATCTGTAACTTACTAGCAGTGTGAGTTTGTGTAAGTCTCTTCACCCTCTACGTCATAGTTCCTCACCTGTGAAGTATTTGTAGCATTAGAAGAGAATAAATGAGCATATGCAGTTAGAGCATTTACCTGGAATCCCCTCCATAAACACACTTGTGTGTGTGTGCGTGCAGGGTCGGAGGGACTTGTACCCTTTGTCCTGGTTTCCTCCACACTGATTTTTTAAAAATTGTGGTAAAATATACATAACATAAAATTTGCCACCTTAACCATTTTTCAGTATGTGGTTTGGTGGCATTAAGTACATTCACATTGTTGTATAGCCATCACCACCGTCCATCTCCAGAACGCTTTTCATCTTGCAGATAGAAACTCTTTACTATGAAACACGAACTCCCTGCCCTACTCCCTCAGCCCCGAGAACCACCGTTCTACTTTCTGTCTATGAATTTGACTGCTCTAGGTACCTCATATAAGTGGAATCATACAGTATTTGGCCTTTTGTGACTGGTTTATTTCACTCAGCGTATTTTGTTTATCTATTTACCAGCTGATGGACACTTGGGTTGCTTCACACTTCGAGTGTGAATAATACTGCTGTGAACATGGGTGTACAAATATTCTTCTAGTCTCTGCTTTCGATTCTTTTGGGTACACACCCAGAAGTGAAATTGCTGGATCATATGATAATTCTGTGTTTAATTTTTCTAGGGACTGCCATACTGTTTTCTAAAGTGTCTGTGCCATCATACTGTGATTTTAAGTGCAAGTCATTTGTCCTTCAGAGATAAAGAAAGGGCATTTCTGCTGAAGAGGGGTCCTTCCGTTTGTATCCAGCTGGTGCTATTCTGTTTGCATCCAGTCTGCATGAGTGAGGACGATTTTGCCTCTTAGAGGACATTTGGCTATGTCTGGAGACATTTTTGATTGATATACTGGAGAGGAAGGTGCTATGAATATCTACTAGATAATGTCCAGGGATGTTGCTAAATATTCTATTATGCACAGGACAGCCCCTCCCCCACCTTCCCCTCCAACAAAGAATTATCCACTCTTAGATGTCAATAGTGCAGAGGTTGATAAATCCCAGTTTATACCAAGCAATCAGCCCAAACCAAACATATCAAAGCACAAGACAGAAAAAAAGATATTTCCTGCCTCTAGGACCTCACATTCTCACCCCGAAGACATTGGGTTCTGGAAGCTGAGCTACACTACAAGGAAGAGAGGGTGATGGGTGCTTGGACAGAAGTCTGAACGGGAAAAGAAGGAAATTTTAATTCTGGCCATAAAGATGGATCTCTTCTGGTTTTCTCTTTAATGAATGTTCCCTTAGACCTGTTTAAAACTGTGCAAACATTCGCTTTAGGCTCCATGAGGCATGTTACCAGTCTGGTGACCGGGAAAGTAAAGTAGGGGAGTCTGGCTGGAGTGCGATGGAAGACAGCATTTTCCCATGGTTCTCGGAACCTGAGCCCTCAGTACTGCTGCTGCAGGGTTGCACTGTGGTCCAGGTCCTGGTAAATCCCCAGTTTATAAGACCTTGCCTGGGAATCAGCAGTAGTGCTGGTCAGAAGCCTAGACCAGAATTCTGGAAATAGGTGTTCAGGATCCCCTGTAATCACTACTTAGTCACTCATTTGTTTATTCAGTCATTTAACAAATACCTACTCCATGCTTGTCAGCACTGGGCTAGATCCTAGGGATACACTAGTGAGGAAAAATGGGTGGGGTTCCTGTTCTCAGAGGTGCCAGTCCACTGAGGTAGCAGACATTCATTCATCAACGAGTCAGTCTGCGGTATGTAAAATACAAACTGAGATGAGATTTATACATGAGAGAAATATATTTTGGGGAGCATGCATAAAATGGCGGTTGCAGAGGCTTACTGAGGAAGTGGTGCCAGAGCTGAGAGTAAAGCAGAAAATCAGTGAACTTGAAGGCGGTGGAGGGAGGCCAGTGTTTAAAGGAGCCATGGAATTCTAAAGAGGCGGTTGGGCAGTGGGCTGTGTGAACAGGGCGAGCTGACTTTCTTCTATTTTTCTTCTTTCTCTTGCCTGCCCTTCCAGTTGAAAGTGAAAATGAAACAGGATCCACAAGTGAATCAGGATCTCTGGAGAGAGAGTAGGTAGTGATGTTGGCCAGACAGACTTTAGATGGTAGATGGGCAGGTGTGGGCTGTGCAGATAGGGAGTTATAGAATGAATACATTGGAGCGCCGCCAGACTATAGTGGGACTCCTGAACGGGAAAGTGGTTCATTATCCCAGCTCTGGGCTCTGCTATGACTCTATGCAAGTCTCACAGCCTCGCAGGTTATTTAAACAGTGGGGTGAATAATCTTGTCTATAGACAGCCCTAGGTACCCAGGGGACAAGACTAGAATAAAACCAGTTGGTTTTACATAGCTCTGCAGGCCCTGAAAGATAAATATAGTTATTAAGACTAAAGAATTTTTCAAGTAAAGCCAATAAAGAGGGGTTCAAAAGTCTGGCATGGTGCAGCTTGCAGAGAAGGCTGAAGAAGCACTCAGTACTGATTTGCCAGGGCATGAAGAGTAAGATATAATATTGCTTGGAAGATATACTATTGCTTTCCCCATCTTCACTGACGACAGAAAGAGGAAACTGGCTTTGAGATGAAGACAAGGACTGGGATTAGATAATGGGAAGGATTTGTGATCAGAGGTGTGGTTAGATGCAGGAGTGGTGCCTAAGGTGTGGGGATGACTGAGCTTTTCTTGCTTCACACTAATAAGACAAAGTGTACCAAGTGTGGGATGGTTTGGGCCAAAGGCAAATTGAGAGTCCCACTGACCTCTGCAGTTTCCTTCCAGCCCACTTCTAGCCCTAGCACAATGTGAGACATCACATTTCAGATCAAGTCCAGCAATTCTAGGCTGAGGGTGGGGAGAAAAGGAGGATATTCTCAAAAAAAAGTTCTAAAATCTGGGTGGGACAGGAACTTGGGTTTTCACCCCACCTCCGACATGATGCCTTTTGTTTCAGCGAAATTGATAAATTTCCTGCTTGCAAAATTGACTTGCTCTTCACTCCTCATTCTCTTCCTGTGGCTTTTGAGACAGCTGGTTTGTGGATTGTTGGCAAGCCAGAAATTCTACTGTATGCGAAGTAGATGCACTTCTAGAATTTTCGCGCACACTTTGACTCCTCTTTCTTTAAGATTAAAAAACTCATTCATATTTAATTCAGTTCTTCTAAATGGCTTCCACGTCATTCTGTCTTCCCACTTTGTAATGCATCATGGTCTCCCTTAATGCACGTACCTGCCAAATTAAACTTTATGGCTCATCAGCTAACAGATTGCCGTTGGATCAAGCCAAGTGTTCTTGCACGTTATGTCATGGGCTTTCACACCTGCCAGCATTTCTTTTGTTCAGATGGGTATATACCTTCTTCCTGCAGCCCTGTGTTCATCATCTTTAGCTGTCAGTAACTTCTACACCGGCAATTTTGTGCAATTGTCCCTTGGGTAACTGGAAGGGAGGAGAAGGGTCAGCTGGGATATACAATGAACTCCTTGGGAAGTCCTCATTTTTGAGACCTAGATTATTAGAGTATAAGAGGATACTCACTTCAGTTATGCAAATTAGCCTTGGCCCAGGGCCACTACACATCAGGTAGAAGGCCAGAGGGCGGCATTAGCAGCTCTACCAAGTTTCTCCTCATCAGTTGGTCTCTTCCCTTCCCTCACTGTGTGGTCCCAGTCAGCCCAGGACTCAGGTCTAGTGTTTATTTAATACCTTCTCACCAACCGTCTTGTCCAGTTCCCCTTAAAACACAAATACCCTTGGGGGATCAATACCTTAACATCTTATCAGGGAGTAGTTGAGAGCCAGCCTAGTGGGATAGGTGCAGGTCACTCAGAGGGAAGAAGAGGGCTTATTCAGCACCTCCTCGGAGCTAAAGAATCCACACATGAACTTACGAATGTGGTGCTGGGGCCCTGACACATGAATGGCCTTCATAAGGGAAGCTTCTGAGTGTGACCCACACCTGCATCTCAGCAGGGGAGGTAGCGTGGCAGGGGCAAGGGGGCTTGGGCAGAGCAGGAGAAACTGGGCACAAAACCTGCCCTGCCGCTCGCTCAACAAGTTTGGTGGATCAGTGGAACTCTAGCTCTCTCTCCACGCCAGGCCATGTTCTTTATATTTGTTACCTCATTTAAATCGACAGCACCATGTTGTGTGGGAATTACCTACAACGGGATTCAGCCCTGCACAGTTTCAGTTCTTTATACTTGTAAAGCATATTGGTTTTAGAGTCTCACCTGGATTTAACTCCTGGCAATGTCAACTACTGGCTAAGCAACCTTGAGACAGGTAATTTAACTTTACACTTCTCTAGGAAATGGTGATAATCATGCCCACCTCAGAGGATCAAATGCAAATATATATTTATAAATATAAATGATATATATAAATGTATTACTAAATATATACGCGTTTGTTTATAAGTCATTTAACAAATTGCCTAGCGCCCAGTAAATGGGTGGACGTTCTAATAGTCAAAGGAGGAAAGGATGGTAAAGTGGGCTTCAGAAGCTTGCTTCTCGCTTCCATAGGACAGAGCCAACACTAGACATTTTTTGGTGGGGGGCTCTGCAGTCCCAGTCAGCCCTCCATGGTAATCAGAGTGTTTACCAGTGTGGTTTGGGTTGTTTTCAGAGGCTCCATAAGGAGTTGCCACTCAGCCTGGAGGACCTGGAGGATGTATTTGATGCCCTGGATGCTGACGGCAATGGCTTTCTGACCCCAGAGGAGTTCACCACCGGTTTTAGTAAGTTCTGATGGATGTTGGGCCCCAGGGTGTGTGTCTACCTAAAGCTACATAAAATACACCCATGCCCTGCCAGATCTGAATGTCCTTGTAGCACAAACTTGCCTGTCCTGAAGTCTCCAGGCTCTGGATTTGGGGGGCCTCTTTTCACATGTCCTCCTTGGCTGCTTATACTACTGTACTGCTCTCTCATTGCTTACCACACTGTCACTGCCTGTCACTGCCAAGTCCCCTGCCACCCAAGAATAGCCAGGGATATGTAGGGAAGCTCTGGCAGAAGGCCTGGCATGAAATGGGGAGCTGAGATGAGATTCACAGCCCCTTATTTCTACCTTGATACTAGTAGACGACAAAGTGGGATGACTGCCTGGCTCACTTCCAACTGAGTCTGACCGAGTCTTCCTGGTTAAGGGATGCAGCTATCAAAGGAATTTATAGAGGATTTGAATAGACCAGTTACTCTCAAGGTAATCTGGAGGAAGGAGAACTGAGATCCATGAACAAGACAAAGAAACCAGATATGCCATCAAATCATACTGATCCAGTATTGATTAGAGTAAATACTGGTCAGATATATCAACAGGCAAGTTCTGCCACACATCTCGTTCATACAAGGCATTGTATAGTTTACTTAGAAGTATCTGATGCCTTGCCTGACCTTGAGGAACTTATAATTGACAAGGGAGGATAAGACAGATTGCTGTATTACTTAGTAGGCAGTATGAATATGGAAAAAGAGCACCCAAAACTGTTAAGTAACTTGTGAATGTGAAATACAGCAATGCTGGCAGTACGGATGGCTAGATGATAATGTGCAGCATAGGCAGTCAGGCTACTAGAGTGTGTTGGAGGGAAAGGTCTTATTGTTTAGAGAAGAAATCGATGAAGAGATGAGTTCTAAGCCTGACTTTAAAGGATTAAGAACCACCATGATAGTACCTGTCATGCACTCTGCCTTTCCCAGGTTCTAGCACCTCTAGCAGTATCTCTTGGAAGTAGGAAAATCAGAAACACGGCATCCAGGGATCTTTGCCATGGGAAGATTTCCCTTTTTCTTCTCTCAGGTGAACCTTAAATGATTCCTGGCAACTGAGAAAGTAAAGGTCTTCCTGGGCAAGTATTGCCTAATTCAGACCCTTGTGCCATGCATTTCCCAGGTCAGTTCTTCTTCAGCCAGAATAAGCCAACTCAGGAAGATGCAGGTGAACAGGTGGCTCAGCTCCAGGAAGAGAAGGTATATCAATCCAGAGGAGAAGAGGAACTGGGTGGCATGGATGAAGATGAGGAAGCCCAGTTCCAGATGCTGATGGACAAGCTTGGAGCACAAAAGGTTTTAGAAGAGTAAGTAATGACAGTGATTTGGGGTGGAGCCCAGCCTAGGTGCAACCTCTTTATCTGCTCCATTCAACCATTAACATCCATTAAGCCTCAGTGCCAGGCCCAGGCTCCAGACTTACTCCATACAGCCTTCCCTTTGCAATGACCTGTCTGTGTGTAATGGTCGAAAGGCTCTGTCTCTGCCTTTACACTTCTTTTCATGGGAATCGCCCTATCCCCCTTCTCTCCCACTCTCCTCACTTCCTACTATACATTATCAGCACAGTCCTTGGCTCAGCAAGGAGTGCTCACACATCGGAGGGCCATGCCAGGCCTTGAGGTTTTTCAGTGAGTTTTGCCTAAGGCTTCACTATCAGCTCACCAGCACTGCCACCTCTACTGGAGCCACCCTACCATGGTGTGCTCTTGGCAAAAGCACTCTCTGTAGAAAGTGTTTGCATGTTGTAACCCTGAGCCTAACCAACCCTGTCTGGAAGCCAAAGTAGGAGATTAACCAGTTTTTACCAGCCCACCACATGGGTGATCAGTAGCTCTGCTGAAAATTTTAGATGGTTAGAACTACAAAGAAAACATAATACCCCCCCTTTTTTTTTTTTTTGCAAAATGCGTTTTGAAATAGACACCTAGATCTAATCCCTGACATTTAAAACAAAACGAAGTAAAATGATATCAAAAATAAAATAAGAAAAAAGTGATGGTATGCTTAATGGAAACCAGACAGGGACCTGAAAAAAAATAGTCTGCCCCCTTTTCCCCTTGCCTTTTGCCATTTCATTTTTGATTCTCTAGGTCTTGGGTTGGGTGTGTGTTTCATAAGGGGTGAGACTGGCCTCATGATTGGAGCTGATGTGTCCTGAGCTTGATAAGAGGAGACTCCGTGGTGGAAGATGATAAAGAGGAAGTGAAAGATAAGGGGCCTGTACACAACTTGCAGGCCAAAGAAAGTGTCTGTTGCTCTGTGAATTTTTTAGCAAATGATAGACTGTGCGAATGATTTGATAGACTGTGTCAGAGTTGACAAAAGCTGGCAAAAGCTCTTGTCAGTCAAGGAGGGGACAGGAGGCCTAGGAAGAGAGCCCTGTGGGAGGCTCTGAACAGGAAACAAAATGACACATTGGCAGTGGCAGCGGCTCTGCTGCAGGCCTCAAAGAGGCTGGTGTAGGCACAGATCTGCAGAGCTGGTGTGGGGCAGGTGGGTGTGCTGGGGGTGCAGGTACATGGGAAGAACATTAGTTAGATACCTGACTCAGCTTCTCTGATAAGGGGCCAGAGCACAGTGACCACTGCCAGTGACTCCATGAAGCCTCATCCTGGAGAAGGGGGAAGGAGAGGGCAGTGTAGGCAAGCCAAGGGACTGTAATGAAAAAGAGGTGCCTCTCCACCTGCCCATTACTTCCAGGGCAGCCAGGCAGAGCTGCCAAATCAGAGTTCACCGGATGTCACTCTGAGGACCTATGTCAAAGGCCTGTGCAGAACCGAGTCGGTATCAAATATCCTGGAGAAGAGAAGGCTCATGGGAAGGTTTCAAGAGTGATCTACACAACTCAATATGTGGAAGATGGTGACCAGCAATTTCCATCCTCATTGAAGTTGAACAAGAAAGGAGTGAGCTTAAGTTATAACGTGAGGGAAATGGTCATGACTGTGGGACCTCAGACAAGCAAATAGATGAGGCTGTGAAGACTCTACAACTTTACTCACAGAGGTGGTTTTTCTGTTGTCTTAAAAGCAGGGAGATGGACAGATTGACTTCCCAGAATCCATTCTAGCTCTGTACTCTTATATCCTTCCGGGAGGAGTACTCTGGGTATAGACAGGACATCTGGACTCCCGATGTTTTTGGTGGTCTGATTGGCTCAGTAATTTTGCAGCTTATGGGCCTGACTTATTTTTCATCAAGGGTTGGAAGACTTGTCCCTTCTCCAGAAATTCGGAGGGAGGTGATGTAGCTATGACTAAGTGGTTCAGAGAGACTTGAAGAGGGTCCGGTGGGTCTGCAAATCTCACTGGAGGCTCTAGCCCAACTGGTGGCTCTGCCAGGCTCCATTAGGAACCTGGCAGATGTGAATAGATACCTCTAGACTAACAAGGTGGACCTTGATTTTTATAATGCATTTACTTTATGAGAGGAGCAACCTGCCACAGTGACAGGAGGCCATTGTGATATCTCCCTGAGACCTTTTACCTCTGAACTTTTTGTGCCATCTTCGTTATGCCTATACAATAAAGTAGATAGCCACAACATGCTCTGTGTGGGTAAAATGGAACTTATTATGGGAAACAGAGAGGCTCCTTACCTCCCCTTCTCTTGTTTCCCAGATTCCTTCATGTCATCTACTTAAGTGCTAGGTTCTCAACAGGATATAATTACTGTTGGGTGAGTGGATAGATGGATGGATGGATGGATGGATGGATAGATGGATGGATGGGTGAATGGGTAGATGGATGGGTGGTCTAGATAAGCCAGTGGATGTTTGCATGAGATGGAGCAAGGGAAGGAAGGAGGGAAGGAGGGACGATTAGATAGCTGATGAGATAAATAACCAGAGGTAGGTTTATTTCTCAGTCAGCCTCTTCTCAGAGAGTAATATTTATGTTCCAGGCACGTTGCTAACGGAGTATTATCAAATATCGCTTCTGAGGAAAGTTCCTCAAATATAGTGCTCGTTGCACAAGCACAAAGGATTTTATTATTTATCTTGAGGGTTTCTGCTAATAGCTACCCTCAGATCAGAGTGGCTTTTGAATTTAATGGGGTGCAAATCAAATTGCTCTCCGGCTCAGTGGGATCATTGGCTGTAGATTATTGAGTTTTTCCAGAAATGTGTGTGCCACCTCCCCATTCCTCCCCACTGATCAGCATGACCCTGGGTGTCTTTGTTGCTGTGCATGCACACATGTGCCCAGTGTGCCTGTTTAGGGTGGGGCAGTCTCTGGGCATGTCTCTCTGTGTCTTTGTCTCTCTGCATGCTCCATCCCTCCCAACTTTCTATTTGTTTTTCCATGTGTGCACACACATTTTTCACACTTG